AGATGGTAATCTGTTCTATGGAGGAGTTAGTCAAGGTTTCCAATGTATGGCGGTCTATAAGTGTCATGGACTTTTGAATAATAGCTAAAATCTTTCTCAGATGCATGCATAGCCCTCCAACTACTGTATCTACTAGAGAGTGAGTCTGTAAAGATTTGCAGAAGTGTTTGAGGAAAGCGTAGGAATGTGTAGGGCGATTGTGAGAAGTGTCCAAAGAAGGGTCCGGGCTGACATTAAAATCCCCACCCAGAATCAAATTATCCTCCCTAAAATCTGCCAAATGGTTCAAAACCAAATCTATAAAAGTGAGTTGAAGAGAATTCGGGGAATAGAGGGTAGCCAAAATGTATTTCTGTCCCTGAATAGTCCCTTTCAGAAAGACAAATCTACCCTGAGGATCCTCATAGCTGTCTACGGGTTGGAACAGGAAGTTTATGGAGGACGACGGCAGTGCCACGATACTTCGCCAGCGGGGAAGTACTGAGGAACCATTGTGAGAATAGGTGAGTAGGCAGTTTAGAGACAGAGGTGGGGGGTAAGATGAGTTTTCCTCAGAAAAAAGTACCTGCGCCCCCCAGCCAATTGAGCTCTATCCACAGCCTGTTTCACTTATTAGGGAAAAGAGACCATGACAATTATAGGAAATTACCTTAATCGTAGACATGGGAAAAAAGGAAGGAAAGTTGTCCAAGCAACCAAACAGATGCTCACAAGCATAGTGTGGTGGAGAAAAAGGCTGTGTCCTAAAAACACAAAGAAAACATAAGTAACCAGTAACATATAAAGATAGAACAACAGTAACCTAGTCACATATGACTTAGATAACCAACCACAGACCGAGGAAAACTGTCTGAATCCACATCAAATGAGGCGCAGCGTCCAGGGGCAACCAAGTCGCATCCAGTGGATCAGTCTCCGAACATAGTCAGACATCAGGGTACAGCAGAGCTATAGCTCCGCAAAATCAAAGAAAGCAATATTTCCAAACAGGGGCATTAAGGCAAAACCCCCACTGCACCCCTCCAAACAAAAACAGTAGGAAGAAGCACCACCCTTCCGGACCTGCAGACTAAAAGGGGACCCCCACGTATAGAGGATGTTTGCCTTGTATAATGACTCCAAAAGTGGGTGGAGCACCCTACGTTGCATCAAAGTTCGCTTGGATAAATCCTGGTAAAAGAAAAGGTACACACCATCAAAGTCAAAATATGGCTTTTTCTGCATACCTTGCTTTATTTTCTCCTTGAGGGTATATTTATGCAGCTTGCAAATAATATCCCTGGGTGGTTAGGGGGATCCTGGGAAGTGGGGTGCAGTGCCCAGTAAGCTCGATCAATTTTGATGGGATTCATCGAGGAGAGGTCTAGGATGGTCCAGAAGATACCCCAAAGAGTAGGGACAATGTTTCTGGTTGCCATTGCCTCAGATGGTCCCCTAATATAGATGTTAGACTTGCGACTATGATTCTTATTGTCATCTAGTTGGCAGAGAAGGGCCTTAATCCTCTGGTCTTGTGCCACACAACAATTCCTGATTATGGAGAGGGTCAAGGGTCTCCAGCCTGTTGCCCAGCTGAGAGGTGTCTGACTTCAGCTTCTCTATGTCCTTTTTGTGAACGCTTTTTTCACTCTGGTGGCAAAGCGTTCCAGATCATCCTTAGTGGGGAGAGACCACATATGCTCTTTGAGGTTGTCTCTATCCCCAATGATATCGGACATATCGGAGCACAGGTCCTTTGAGGTAGTTGAGTGGGGGGGCCGTATCACTCACCAGCTTGGAAGAAGGTATAGGAGATGCAGCTATAATTTGCAGCAGCTGTGTGTTAGTTGCAGCATCGCGCTCCCACTGTGGCTCCATCCTGGAGGCCTCTCCTCATGTCCGCCTGGCCTCAGGGAAAAAGAAGTTAATGCAGCCCCAATTTGGAGTAGCGGTGCCCTGGGATTGGGAGGAGGCCCTCCAGTGCTGGGACATGACCAGGTGAGTCATCTAAGCTATTTGTGGCCCCATATGAAAAGTGCCGTCCAGGGCCGGACTGACCATTTGGAAACTCAGGCACTGCCCGAGGGCCCGGGGTCAGTAGGGGGCCCCATGAGATGCCCCTGGTACCTTTTTCATAGGCTTTTTTTAGTTTGGGCAAGGACACAGGGGCCCCATGATCCCCTATTGCCCGGGGGCACCATGAGTTGCCAGTCCTCCCCTGGTGCCGTCTAAGCGGCGCTCCGGTGCTCTGCTTCCTCACTCCTCCATGTCCATCCACATCTTGGTGTCTCTGTGTCTTTCAGCATCCATTGTTTTGTCCATATTAGGGAGTATATCTACATAACTCTGTGGATGAGGATGGGAAAGCTTAAACACTAGGCTGAGTGAATACCACCACCAAGAGATGCACTATATCGCCCAAAGTATTGGAATGCCTGCCTTTACACGCACATGAACTTTAATGGCATACCAGTCTTAGTCTGTAGGGTTCAATTCTGAATTGGCCCATCCTTTACAGCTATAACAGCTTCAACTCTTTTAGGAAGGCTGTCCACAAGGTTTAGGACTGTGTCTATGGGAATGTTTGACCATTCTTCTAAAAAATCATTTCCATCAATAAAAGTGTAATTGTCGATTGAAACCTCAGTGTGTTTGAAATTTCATGAACTAACACAAATGCTTCAAACTGAGGGAAATTCCACATGATGTCACATGAAAATAAGCAACAAACTGACATAGAAATTAACATAAACAATTCAAATACGGGCGGCACAGTGGCTTAGTGGTTAGCACTTCTGCCTGGCATTACTAGGGTCGTTGGTTCGAATCCCAGCCATGGCACCACCTGCCTGGAGTTTGCATGTTCTCCCTGTGTCTGCGTGAGTTTCCTCCCACACTCCAAAGACATGCAGGTAGGTTAATTGGATCCTGTCTAAATTGTCCATAGTATGTGTATGTATGAATGTGAGTTAGGGACCTTAGATTGTACACCCCTTGAGGGTTAGGGACTAATGTAAATGTACAATATATATATGTAAAGCGCTGCGTAAAATTGATGGTGCTATACAAGTACCTGAAATAAATAAATAATACTGTAAAAAAAGAAACCAGGCCACAAGAGACTTCAGTCGGGGAATCCACCAGAAGCAATAAAGGCATCCCAGCTAAATGTCTGTCCTATGTTGCTTGTGTAGCTTTACAACTAGAGCCAGATTCATGAGATGAGATGCAAAGACTTCCAACCCATGACTACAGTTGTATTTTGTGCAACTACATCAGTATTCAGTTGAGATGTACAGTATTCTTAATCCAGCAGATGGCAGCGCTTATAAGTTTGTAGCTACATCTATGGCGTACTTTTTTCTGAGTAAAGATTCCTGTTTAACTTTTTGCAGTGAAGAAGCAGCACAGCACATATGGACTGTGCACGGTCTGTTCTGTAGGGCTATATACAGAATCTCTAACAGAAGCCCCTCGTAGACATGGCATATCATGTATCTACAATCTTCTCCTCCTTCAAAGGTCCCTCCCAGTTAAACCTCCAGCATTGCTGTTCAATGGTCAAGAAGAGATTCTAAATGTATTACCCACTGGGAATCTAGCCAAGAACTAATACATAGTTGGTATCTCACACCACAACTACTCTGGCAGCCAGGTCTCCCACTTGAAACTCCTCGGCATACTGGAGACACTATGACCATGTGGATTCCTTACTTCATATATGGTGAAGTTGCCCAAAAATCACCTCCTTCTTTGCTGAAGGTATTCTCCTCTATAGAATCAGTTACAAATAAAGTAACCACTAGACCTTTCGTTGGCAATTCTTGGACTGGGATTGGAACTATGGCTGGTACATACTCACTTTTTCATGTCACATGTCATGATCACTGCAAATCTGGCTATTTCAACCTACCGTTCCCTATTAATCCTCGGTGCTGGATATTTTGAACACCAATGCTGCTTATGAAAAATCTTGTGCTCATATTCATAACTTCCTAGAAAAATATCAGGAACCTTGGGGAATATAGTTCACTGAAAACCATAGTAATATTCCCTAGATTATTGTAATTTACATTGGCTGTGCCTTATTGTCTTTATAACAATGTGTTATTATAACTATCTTTCTTAGGAAACCATTTCCAGATGATATAACAAATATATTATACAGTATGTTTTTCATTTTATTCAAACCTATGTTTTTCAGCTACCCTCCCTTTCTCCTTCCCTTGTCTTCAATTTTTTTTCCTCTAAGATTGCAAATCTGCCATTCTTACCCATTATACTTGAATAAGTGTCACCCAGACCCCCCCTCCAAGGCAACTACAGCACCCGGCCTGACGAGGCCTTCCACGGCCTACCCCTGCATGCTCCTCCGGCAACCCACCCAGCAGTGAGCCCGCAGTCTAAACGATCACCAAGACCCACCATGGCATGCTCCCCGCATCCGTGAGCCTACAGTCCCCATCTCCTTCTCCTCCTGAACCCCCAGATGAACACGGCCTGCGAGACCAGACTAAGCCTTCCACGTCGTGGCCTGACCTGGCCCTGAGGCCCTCCTGCCTACCCCTGTGAGTAGCGAGACCTGCCACAGCCTACCAAGACGCGGCCCGACCCTGACCCGAGGCCCCTCTATCCAACCCCGAAGTAGACTTGGCGAGCGACCCTACCCCCGAAGAACGGCGGTGCCTCGGTGAGGCCTACCATCCCGGACCTCCTGTGCCCATTGGATGATCAACCTGGCCCTGACCTTAAGCCCATCGGATGTTTAACCCTACCCTGACCTGCAGCTCACCTGGCGACCCCCCTCATAACCTTCCAATCTGGACTCACGCAAACTGGAACCTGCAACCTACGACCTTCCGAACTGATCTCTATCCACCCAGATCCTAATCACTAGAACTCCTGCTACAAGAAGCTGCTTCAACATGATATGCCACTGCACGACGGACTATCTGCAACAATGCGCCCTGAGAAACCTTTCACCTCCCTCACCTGTCCGCCACTCCGTTTACCCTCCTAAAATGCCACCTGTACTCCTCCTCCTCATACTCCTCTCATCCATTCCCAAAATCTCCTCTCTCTACCCCCCTACTCCTCCAAAACAACTATACATCACTATGCAGTCACCGAAACCTGGGTACAGGCCACCGACTCCACTTCCCCTGCGTCACTCACCCATGGAGGTCTCATCTGGACCCATTCGCCAAGACTGAGCGATCGCAGAGGTGGTGGTGTCGGCTTGCTCCTTTCACCGCTGAGCACCTTCCAGGTCCTCCCTAACCCACCCTCTCTATCCTTCCCCTCCTTTGAGGCGCACTGCATCCGACTCTTTTCACCCACCCCCCTAAGAATCGCAGTGATCTACAGACCTCCTGGGTCCATACCTCACTTCCTGGACAACTTCGCCACCTGGCTCCCCTTCTTCCTCTCCTCTGAGCTACCGACCATCATCCTCGGGGACTTCAATATCCCCATCAACAACAACAACCCGGCCACTTCCCAATTCCTCCACCTAACCTCCTCCTTCGCGCTCACACAGCACACGCAATCCTCCACCCACATTGGAGGGAACACGCTGGACCTCGTCTTCTCCCACCTCTGTACCCTCAACCAGTTCTCTAACACCCCCTTCCCTCTCTCTGACCACCACCTCATCACGTTCTCCATCTCCCCTTCCCCCCCTCTCCCCCCCCCAAAAAACGCCAAACCATCACCAGCCGCAATCTCCGCAACCTGAACCCGGCCCCCCTCCACTCAGCCACCCCGCCTACACTCAGCATCCTCCCACTGTCATGACATAGCCACCACCTTGTACAACGACTCACTGTCAGCTGCCCTAGACTCTCTGGCACCCCTAACCACATGCATCTTCAAACCTAGGCCGCTTCAACCATGGCAGAATGACAGCACTAAACTCCTCAAACGTCGCAGTCGTGCACTGGAGAGACTGTGGCGCAAAACCAGGTCCCCTCACGCATTCTCCCTCTACAAATCTGCCTTCATCACTTACACCTCCTCCCTCCACGCCGCCAAGCAGGCCTACTTTGTTAACCTAATCAACACCCTCTCCTCCTGCCCTCACCGACTCTTCTCCACCTTCAACTCCCTGCTCTCTCCCCCCCCCCTTTACTCAGTACCTCACTCACCGCCCACGAGATTGCCACCCATTTCCGTAACAAGGTTGACGCTATCCGTAAGGACATTGTCAACTCGCAATCTACCTCCCCACCTAGCCTCCCCACCCCCGTCACCCCTTCTTCTCCCCCCTCCTCTGCCCTCCACCTCTCCCAAGGCCCCGCCCACCGTAACCCCCCCTGCACTGCACTCCCTCAGCCCTGTCACTACTGAGGAAGTCGTCAAGGTCCTCTCAGAAGCCCTGTCAAGGTCCTACCTTTTCCCTGAGGTTATGTTACTCCATGTGCTGGCGTCCATCTTGGATTCTGCTGTGCATGGTGGGAATCCTTTTATGCCTTCAGGTCTCTGAGGTCCATCCCCCAGAGGGGCGTGGCTGATGACATATAAGCCTGTGGCCCGCACATGCTCTTTGCACTTGTATCTTGTGTCTTTGTGTTGCTATTACTCTGTTCTGACTCTCGTGACTCTCCTGGTATCTGATTCGGCTTGTGACTTGACTATTCTTTGTATTCTCCTTTGATCTGACCCTCTGTTGCTGAACCCAGCTCGTGACCTGTGATTCTCGTCTGCTGTCCTGTACTGTTTTGTCCTGTTGTTGTTGACCCCGGCCTGTCTGACTACTCTTTTGTCTCTTCCACCAGCTACACGCCATTGGCTGAGGTGTCTCGGGGGCTGCGACCTGGTTCCTGGCTGCGTCAAGTCCATCCCCACCATCAGGGGTCCTGGTGAAGGGCAGCCTGGGACTTAGACTCCGCGCCCTGAGGGACTTCGGTCTGTGGGTGTTGGTTGTCGTCAGCCAGTGCGTTACATTGTTAGGCCTGCCTGTCCGTTCCTCGAATCCTGCCCTGACACTCACTACCTGCCCCCTGGACCCTATCCACTCTCAACTCCTCCGGTCACCCCCCTCTTCCTTCATCCGCTCCCTCACCCACATCTTCAATCTCTCCCTCTCTACTGGCGCATTCCCCTCCCCCCTAAAGCACGCACATATCACCCCCATCCTCAAAAAGTCCTCCCTGGATCCCGCGGACCCCAACAACCTCAACCTCAGACCCATCTCCCTGCTGCCACTCACCTCCAAGCTCCTTGAGCGCATAGTCTACGATCGCCTAAGCGCCCACCTTATTGACAATAACCTCCTTGACCCATTACAGTCCGGCTTCCGTCCCCTACACTCCACCGAAACTGCCCTCCTCAAAATCACTAACTACCTACTAAACGCCAAAGCCAAGGGCGACTACTCTGTCCTCCTTCTCCTGGACCTCTCTGCGGCCTTTCGACACAGTCGACCACCCCCTCCTCCTTAATAAACTACTCTCCCTTGGCATCAGAGATACCGCTCTCTCCCTGGTTCTCATCCTACCTATCCCGACGCTCCTTCAGCGTCACCTACAATGGTGCCACCTCCCCCTCCCTCCCCCTCTCTGTTGGGGTCCCCCAAGGCTCTGTCCTTGGACCCCTTCTCTTCTCCATCTACACCTCCTCCCTGGGCACACTCATACACTCCCATGGCTTCAATTATCACCTCTATGCTGACGACACCCAAATTTACCTCTCCACCCCTCTCCTCACCCCCACTATCTCCGCCCGCATCACTCACCTCCTAAACGACATCTCAGACTGGATGTCGCTCCATTTCCTCAAGCTTAACCTCTCCAAAACCAAACTCCTCGTCTTTCCCCCTGCCCACACCCCCCCCCCCAGCCTATCCATCACCACCACCAACACCACTATCATTCCCGCCCCGCAAGCCAAAGTCCTTGGCGTCATTCTTGACTCGAACCTCTCCTTCCTCCCTCATGTCAAATCACTTGCAAACACCTGCAGGCTCCATCTCCGCAATATTGCCAAGATACGTGCCTTCCTCACCCCAGACACCACCAAACTTCTTGTACACTCCCTCATCATCTCACGCCTTGACTACTGCAACTCTCTTCTCACTGGCCTACCCAAGTGCAGGCTCTCCCCGCTCCAGACCATCCTGAACTCAGCGGCCAGACTCATCCACCTCACCACCCACTCCACCTCTGCCACCCTCCTCTGCCTCTCCCTCCACTGGCTCCCGATTGCCCAACGCATCAAATTTAAACTTCTAATCCTGACCTAAAAAGCCGTTCATAACACTGCCCCTGACTACCTCACCAACCTGATCCCCAAGTACCACCCTACCCGTACCCTTCGCTCCTCACAGGACCTCCTTCTATCCTGCTCTCCTCCTCCCACGCACGACTGCAGGACTTCTCCAGGTCCTCCCCTATCCTCTGGAACTCACTGCCCCAATCCATCCGACTGTTGCCTTCCCTCCCCACATTCAGGCGCTCCCTCAAAACCCATCTCTTCAGGGAAGCCTACCCCACCCTCACCTAACGGCCATTCTCCCTCATTCCTCCCACCACTTCATCCCCCTCAGCCACTTCATTCCCCTCAGCCACTTCCCATTGTTCCACTACCCCCTCCCTCCTAGATTGTAAGCTTGAAAGAGTAGGGCCCTCTTACCCCTCGTACGCTGTCTGTTTTTGTTGTACTGTGCCATGTATTGTCCCCCCTATTGTACAGCGCTGAGCAAACCCTTTGGTGCTATATAAACTCGATGTAATAATAATAATAATAATACATCGCACCCTCACTGCTTCCATATCCCCACTACGGCTCTCACCACCTCCTCCTAATACTCCACTCTCCCACTAACCCACACGCCACCACTAGCAGACTCACACGCTCTTGCACATCTCGCTCCTATGCCACCTTTCTCACCCTTCTTCTAACCGCCGGGCACATCTCCCCAAACCCTGGTCCCTCACCACCTCACTCACCCACTAGGCACCCTCCTACTTCCACAAACTGCCGCAACCCCCTCAACCTAATACCTGTCCCCGTGCTCCCCACAGCCACCCCTCCATTCTCATGTGCACTCATGAACGCCCGATCGGTTTGCAACAAGCTCACCCATTCACCCAGTCCGAGCGGTCGCAGAGGTGGTGGGGTCGGCATGCTCTTGCCACCGCTAAGCACCTTCCAGGTCCTCCCAAACCCCCCTCTCTATCCTTCTCCTCCTTTGAGGCCCACTGCATCTGGCTATTCTCTCCCACCCCTCTGAGGATTGCAGTAATCTATCGGCCTCCTGGACCCGTATCCCGCTTCCTCGACGATTTCTCCACCTGGTTACCCTTCTTCCTCTCCTCAGAGCTACCCACCATCATCCTTGGAGACTTCAATATCCCTATCAACGTCAATAGCCTGGCTACATCCCAACTCCTCCACCTAACCTCTTCTTTTGCACTCACACAGTGTACACAGTCCTCCACCCACTCCGACGGGAACACCCTTGACCTTGTTTTCTCTCATCTCTGCACCCCCCACAACCTCACAAACACCCCTTTCCCTCTCTCTGACCACAACCTCATTATGTTCTCCGTCTCCCCGTCTTCAAACATTTCCCCCCCCCCAAACGTCAAACCATCACCAGCCGTAACCTCCACAACCTGAACCCTGCCCCTCTCCACTCTGCAGCTGACCGACTTTATGACAATATCCTTCCACTATCCTGCCCTGACCTGGCCACTACTGCATATAACAACTCGCTCTCATCCACCCTAGACTCCTTAGCACCCCTAACCACATGTAGCATTAGACCCCGACCGCTTCAACCCTGGCAGAACGACCACACCAAGAATCTTTAATGACGCAGTCACACGCTGGAGCGATTATGGCACAAAACCAGATCCCAACAAGCGTTCACCCTATACAAAACTGCCTTCCTCACCTACACCTCCTCCCTCCATGCTGACAAGCAAGCCTACTTTGTAACCCTCATCAATACCCTCTCCTCCAGTCCTTCTCCACTTTTAACTCCCTACTCTCTCCCCCCCTCCTCCACCCAGTACCTCACTCACCACCAACAAGATTGCTAACCACTTCCAAAACAAGATCGACGCAATCCATAGGGACATCGCCAATGCTCAAACTTCCACCCCACCTAGCCTCCCTCCCATGATAACCCCCTCAACACTCCCTTCCTCGGACCTCGCAACTGCCCAGACCCCCACCCCACCCAACATCCCGCACACTAAACCCCCCCCCCAACACTCCACGCCTTCGACCTAGCTACCACTGAAGAAGTCACTAAGGTCTTCTCCGAAGCCCTCCACACCACCTGCCCCCTTGACCCTGTCCCCACACAACTCCTACGATCACCCTCCTCCTCCATCCTATGCTCCCTCACCCACATCTTCAATCTCTCCCTCTCTACTGGTGCATTCCCCTCCCCCCTAAAGCATGCGCATATCACCCCCATACTCAAAAAACCCTCCCTGGACCCCACCGGCCTGAACAACCTTAGACCCATCTCCTTGCTGCCATCTATATCCAAACTACTCAAGCGCTTAGTTTATAATCGCCTAAGCTCCCACCTCAAAGACAACAACCTCCTTGATCCCCTACAGTCTGGCTTCCGTCCCCTACACTCCACTGATACTGCCCTACTCAAACTCACCAACGACCTGCTAACCGCCAAAGCTAATGGTCACTACTCAGTCCTCCTACTCTCGACCTCTTTTAATCTCATTTTTTAGTGGTTTGTGGGATAGGGGTGTAAATATGAATGGTTCGCAGCCTTCGACACAGTTGACCACCCCCTTCTCCTTAAAAAAACTACACTCCCTTGGCATCAGAGACTGCGCTCTCTCCTGGCTCTCCTTCTATCTATCCTAGCGCTCCTTCAGCGTTGGCTATAACGCTGCCACCTCCCCCTCTCTCCCCCTCTCTGTTGGGGTCCCCCAAGGCTCTGTTCTCGGGCCCCTTCTCTTCTCCATCTACACCTCCTCCCTTGGCCAACTGATACACTCCCACGGCTTCAACTACCAGCTCTACGCCGATGACACCCAAATCTACCTCTCTACCCCTCGCCTCACCCCTTTAGTCTCTGCCCGAATCACCTGCCTACTGAACGACATATCAGACTGGATGTCACTCCACTTCCTCAAATTAAACCTTTCCAAAACCTAGCTCCTAGTTTTCCCCCCAGCCCGTAACCCCCCCCCACCTCTCCATCATGACAAATAATGCCACCATCAGTCCCACCCCGCAAGCCAAAGTTCTAGGTGTCACTCTAGACTCCAATCTATCCTTCCAGCCCCATGTCCAATCGCTGGCAAATTCATGCAGACTCCACCTCCGCAACATCTCCAAAATACGCTCATTCCTAACCCCAGACACTACTAAACAACTCATTCACTCCCTTATTATCTCACGACTCGACTACTGCAACTCCCTCCTCACCGGCCTACCTCAACACAGACTCTCCCCGCTTCAGTCTATCCTGAATTCAGCGGCCAGACTCATCCACCTTACCAACCGCTCCGTATTCGCCACCCCCCTCTGTCATTCCCTCCATTGGCTTCCGATTGCCCAACGTATAAAGTTCAAACTACTAACACTGACGTACAAAGCTATTCATAATACTGCCCCAAACTACCTCACCGACCTGATATCCAAATATCACCCAACACATACTCTTCGCTCCTCACAAGACCTCCTACTCTCCAGTTCCCTGGTCTCCTCCTCCCATGCCTGACTCCAGGACTTCTCCAGGTTTTCCCACATCCTCTGGAACTCACTACCCCAATCCATCAGACTGTCATCTACCCTCCTCACCTTTAGGCGCACCCTGAAAACCCATCTCTTCAGGGAAGCCTACCCCGCCCTCACCTAACAGCCGATCTCCTCCTACCACTCCATCCCCCACAGCCATCTCCTCCTGTACCACTATCCCCTCCCTCCTAGATTGTAAGCTCCAAGGAGCAGTGTATTGTATTGTTACTGTATTGTCTCATGTACTGTCCCCCACTATAACATACAGCGCTGAGCAAACTTTTTGGCGCTATATAAATACTGTATAATAATAATGGCTTGGAAAAAGTATTTTGGCATAAGGCTATATAATAGGCAGATCATTGTTTATAAGACTATGCATAGTTATGGTTAATGTTAAAATGCTGCCATCTTGTGGATATTTTGGTTATGGCCCCTTCTTTTTCTGTCTTCCATCTGTCCCTCCCACTAGCTAGTGATGCACTTCCTTTTTCCTTCTCACACTGTCCTATTGGAATGAATATGGCTGCTTGTCTCAAGGCCACAATCTGCTCGCATCTGGGAACACGTTACCATGTTTTGACCTGCAAATACTGCCTTCAATCATCTGCTATATCTTGTTGTCTGATGTAACTTCTGCAATAAAAATCCATGGATGAGAAAACTGGTGTTTGGTGAGTTCAGCTATTTGATAAAGACTGTCCATAGTGATTGTATCTGCTTATACAGGCCAAGCTTAGAGGTCTCAACAATATAAGTCACTAATACAACAGTTGGAGTCACAGTAGTCAAAACGTGGTAGAATTCCCACAGCCTGCTGTGTTATATGTAGGAGTCTAATCTGCAATCAAGCTCAGTGCCATCCTCCATCTTGTGAAAGCACATGGTTGCACAAGCTTACTGCACTTCACCTGAATATTCACCTGAATGTTGAAAACCGTTTCACTGCATTGGACTGTGCTATCCCACATGTCCAAGCTGCTGTTTGTTGTTTTTTTAAGAGTCAGTAACCATTTTATTTTTGCAAAACTTTAAAAATGTCTAGACAAGGCTCTGAATGCTCTATTATCACTAAAGACACAAATACATCATGCCTCTGACCACACAGATGTATAGGGAGAAGATTACAAAGGTATCGCAGATCAAAGTGTAGGACCCAAACGCACAATAACGCACAATAAAACCAACACCGAAACTCAGAGAAAACAATGAATCCACTAGAGATGAGTTCTCCAGCAATCTGTCAGATCTATAGGACAGAACTACTGTACATACTGCATGTCAGTTTTGTCATGCTTTAAATTAAAAGATTTTATATATCACCTATCTGCAGTGTACGAACGTTACCAATGGCTGTCTGCAATATACTCAACTTTCTTAAAGAACTCTAACATAGAGGGCTCCTTGGCAGAACTAATTGAGACAGATGCACTAAACCAAAAAATAAATCTCTTGGTGCAAGTTGCAAAGGATAAGGCAGAACTCCGCAATGCTCAACTGCAGGAGACCAGATCTCACAAATCTGCATTTGCTCACAGCTCACATGCTCACAGCACGTTCTTCTAGATCCTTCTGCTCCAGAAGCTCAACATTAAGTGACAAGCTAACCGAGGCCCGTGCAAGTCTGGAAGCAAATAAAACTCAAATTTCCTTTGTCAGAAAGGAAGCTGAAACTGAAGCTCAAAGAAAAACTCTTCAAGCAGAGATGGCAGCTCGCCAAGCAGAAGCTCAAAGCAAAGGTCAACAAGCAGAGGCAGAATCTCAAAGTAAAACTCTTCACGCAGAGGTGGCAGCTCGCCAAGTAGAGGTGGAATCCCAAATGTCACATGTTAGACTGCAGTTTCGTTTGTGTTCTTACCTGCTTACTGCAGTCCTGTTCCTGATCCTTTCTTATGTTTGTCTGTGCTCATCTATGGGCGTTGTCTGCTGTCCTCTGGGTTTTATTTGCTTCCGTTCCATCACTTCCTGTCCCGCCTCCTTGTTTGCCTGTCTATATAAGACTTGCTAAGACTAGGCCACTTTGCCTGAGCAACTTCTTAGTTGTTGGAGCTGTGTTTCTGCTGTTTGATTCCTATGTTGTCTACTTGTGTACCGACGCCGGCTTTGTCGGTCCCAGCTTGCTGCAAGTCCATCCCTACCATAAGGGGCTCTGGTGAACAAGCAGGCTGGGGCTTAGACTCTGTGCCCTGGGGAACCCCAAGTTGAGGATCAATAGAGCTCACTACCACAGGTGCTGACAGTTTTCTTAGGCAATGAGCTCCTCGGAGACACCGCAGCCTCTCCTAGAA